TTCAGATCTCAGCACATGCATGGTGGCTCACAACTGCCTGCAACCCCAGTCGCAGGGAGCCACTGCCCTCTTCTGGCCTCAAAGGCACCTGTGCATATACGCAGAAAATAAACAAATAAAACCTAAAATTAAAAAGACAACCGTAAGACATAAAAAGACTGTCTCTATTAATATCCATGTGATTGTTTTACACTATTTAGAAAGATGGTCTCAAAGTATTAAATCCCTACAGATGAGCTTTAAATCGTTATGATAAAGATCCCCAGACACCACCAAAACATTAAAATTTAGGGGAAGATGAACTCCAGAAATCTGAATCCTTTTGTTGTTGTTTTCAGTTCTGTTCCTGTTTGTTTGAGGCAAAGTCTCACTATGTAGACCAGGCAGGCCTCACACTCAAGATCCTCCATCCCCTGCTCCCAAGTGCTAGATTAAAGGCTTGCAATACCACACCCTGTTTCAGAAGTTTAAACTCTTCACACGCATTCCCCAACTCCAAATGACAGAGTGCAGGAGGTCTGGGACTCACACTTTACATACATTTTTGAGTCCTTGTTTACAGTTCTAAACTAGGTCTAGCAAATATTCACCTTGTCATGACCAGTAGCTCATTAAGACAGAAAAAAAATTAAACAAGCCATAGCGTACATAACACATGAAAAAAAAAAAAAACATTACACAAAGAAAAAGCAGATTTTGCTAATCACAGTGACTGCACACTTCTGTGTCTCAAAATTATGTAAAAAGTGGGGACTGTGGGATGACTCAGCAAGTAAAGGCACTTGGCATTGGAGCCAGGCAACCTGAGTCTGATCCCCAGAACCCAGAGGAAAGTGGAAGAAGCAACTGCACAAAGTTGTTCTCTGCCCTCTACACACTCGCCGAGGCACGTATACGCACTTACGGACGCACACAATGTGGCCCAGCTGGGAGAATGCTTGTCTGACATGCTGGAAGCCCTGAGTGTAATCACCAGCATGTATAAAAGGGGTGCAGTGATGCATGCCTGCAATCCCAGCACGGAGACGTGGAAGCAGGAGGATTTGGAGTTCCAGGTCAGATTGAGCTACTAGTGAGTTTAAGCCCAACCTGAGTTATATGACCCTGGCTCAAAAATTAATTAATTAACTCATTGAATGTAAACATAAACACACTGGAAGGGGGGAAAATTGACAGAAGAAAAAAAAATTTCAAAGGATACAAATTCAAAATAAGCAAATATTCAATACTAGAGAATTATAAGAGGTGAAAATTAAATTAATGCATTACAAAGTTAGCTAACAAATGTGTTTAAAAATAATCAGAGAAAGCACTTTTAATCCTAGCACTGGTTAGGAAGAGGCAGACAGATCTCTATGAGTTCAGGTCAGGGGTTCCAGGATAGTCAGGGCTACATAGAGATGCTGTCTCAAAATAATAATAATAGTAATAATAAATGAATAAATAAATAGTAAATGGGTGTGATGATGGACATTAGCTACTTCTGTGGTTTTTCCAGAATTACAACTCTCAGAAAACTGGTTCATTCAATGACCACATCCTGAGCAAGTGCAGAGCACCCACACTCCAAGCAAAATACCCAGGAAGCCAGCCTGGCACACCTGACTCTTTCGTCACAGTATCATTCCCACTCTATCAGTATATACTTACAAATAAAGACCTGTGTACACAGAAAAACAGAGAGAGCCAAGGCTCATCTGCATGCTATCTACCATAACATTTACAGCAGCTTGGCCAGGCAGTGGTGGCATGAGAATTTAAACCCAATACTCAGGAGGCACAGGCAGGCAGATCAAGGACAGCCTGGTCTACAGAGTGAATTTCAGGACAGCCAAGGCTACACATAGAAACCCTGTCTCAAAACAAACCAACAATTAAAACATTTACAGCAGCTTAAAACATATTTTTAAAAAGAAAACTGTACATGAGTAGAAACAATGAATGCATATAATTTCTCACTTTTTTTTTTTAAGATAATAACAACGAAAAATGACTCGGCACAGTGGCACGAATCTGTAACCCCAGTACGGGGGAGGAAAGGGCCAGAGGACTGCCACAAGTTTAAAACTGGCCTGATCTAACAGTAAGGCCTGAGTTATATAGCAAAACTGTCTCAAAAACAAACAAAACCTAAACCATTTACAGTGTTATCTACAGGCTGTGGAACTGTGGGTAAGCTACCCTTCCCTCCTTTCTTGTCCTGGAACCTGAACCCTGGAAGCTTGCACAGACAGACCCTGTGCAATGTTCTACCACTGAGTCAGACCCCAAGACCCCAGTGACTGTTTCCTGCACCCCTCATTAATTTCTAAATTCTGCCATGCTGTTCATTTCATGAGAATCATAATTCTTAAGTACATTTGTCTCTGAGTAAGGAATGTCACACCATTCTCTCCCTTTGTAGTATGGGGAGCTAGCTACCTAAAAGCACTCTGTTCAGAAGAAATCCCCAAGCATTTCAGGTTTGTGAACAGTCAGGACTAAACTTAGAAACGTTTTCTTTAAAAATGAAAAAAAAAAAAAACCCTGCATTTAAAAAATGCTAGAGAAAACAAAGATGGACAACATACCGATACAACTCAGAGATCTCTCTGAAGGCTGTAATAAGGAGATCACTTGAAAATCAGCACCATCTCTACTGAAGGTGGGAGCCTGTCACATTAAAAGGAACCGCTGCCTCCCAGAGGAACTACAAACAGAATTAGGGCACACACGCACGCGCACACAGACAGACACAGACACAGACACACACCCACACCCCAGGACAACCTTCGGCAAAGTCTCTCTACCCAAACTGTTGTTGAAAGTGCATCACGAAGATGAGGGTCCTGGGCCAAACATGCCACCTCATCCCAGGATCAAGAGCTCCTGGCCGTGCCCAATCACCCCACAAGCAGCCTAGGCACCTTATCAACCCTCCATGAAGCTGGTTTCCCAGAGCCTGTAACCAGGTTACCATCTTCAGGTCATCCCTGAAGACCCTCCCACTAGCAGTCCACTCAGAGTGGGTACCAACATCCACACTTGCTTATCCAATAGCAGCTGGGTCCCTGAGGCTGGCGCCCTGAGGTTGGATGCTATGCACGCTGCTTCTCACTCTTTGCTCCTGCCCAGAAGCAGCTATGGGAGCCACAGAAGCCCAATGAGCAAATCAGTGAAAGGATGGCACCTCCGGCTCTGCGATGTCAGCTCTAGAACAAACATATATGTAACTTCTCATCTCCAAGTTAGACATCTGGATTAGGAGTTACAGAGAAACAGAAAAGGAGTGGGGGTAGGACAGCGCAGACAGACCCACCATTGACTTTAACTTTAGCAAAATAACTTTATCTACTACATCTTCTCCAGAATCTTCAGACGACAATGTGCAAGTGGGAAAACGCTGAGGCCCAGAAGCTAAGTGTATCATAGAATCTAGAGGCAGACTCTCCTAAACACCTGTTAAGGTCCTCCTCTGCAGCTGGCACACATGTCAGTGGAAACAATTAGTGAGCTAGGTCCTGTAATGGACAAATCCAGCAGAATCCTGTTTTCTCTGTTGGCTAAAGACAGGAGCACTCCAAGGACTGACTCCTGAGAGGATGTGCTAGGCGGGCAAAGTTTCTGTACCTACTGCAAACAGCCTAAAAGAGTCATGCTCTGTCAGCCCTGCCTGAGGCAGTGGTCTACCCAGCTGGAGGAAACCTCTGGAGACTTCAGCTATGAACCCATTCTGTAGGTCAGAGCAGCAAAGGGGAATGGATGGTTACAGCAACTCCTTTTATCACCTAGCCAGTGACCTTGAGCAAGACACTTCTACCTTAATTTCCTCATGAGTGACTCCATCTCCTCCGAAATCCCTTAAGTCCCTTCCTGGCTTCCCCTCCACCATCCCCTTGTGGTGACCGTTACAATGCCCACAGTCAGGCCTAAGGGACAACTTCAGACGTGCTCCACTCCCTTCAAGCCACTTGGCAGTCCTCTGGCCCTGCTCCCACAGGCAGAGAGGGAGGGCTCTGAGCTGCTTCCACGGCTTTTCTGGTTTTCCCCTGCAATGTGAAGATGCTCTCCTCCCGAAACCGATCTTTCCACCTTCCCTTTCCTGCCCACACAGTAGCAAAGCATATGTGTGCTGGGGCAGTCTCGCTTGCATGTCACCTGGAGATGGTCTCCAGGCCTTCCTCCCAGCGCACACTCGGGGTGGACAAATAAACATTTCAGGGAAGCAACATGAATTAAACCATTTCCTCAACAAACAAAACCCACCCACACGCCTCATAAATCATGTCTCTTAATCCCATGCTGATGAACACTCACTGAATTGCATGTCTTATAAAACCAACCATGACTCTTTTCATGCCCTGACACTTCAGACTCAAAATATTTTCACACTCCATTGTAATGCCTTTGTAGAGGCAACACCAATAGCTGGTTCCCTGGAAAGATCCACGGCCAGGGCGCTTTCCAAGAGATTTTTCTTTGAATGTTCTTTGTGTCCTGGCGCACTGGGGGACACGGCCAGCTTGCCTGCATCTGGGGGAACACTGGCTGCTCACGGCAATGCACAACTGCTCTACAACACACACCAGATGCACCCCTTTGCCCCAACAATAAAAGTATCCCAAAAGACTCCCTACGACACATTCACACAGCCGTGCACAAACACAATTCCAGTGTTTTTGCAAAGGAAAAAAAAAAAAAATAGGCATCTTCAGAGCAGAAACCACCAGACCCGCCTCGGGCAACATGGTTCACGGAAGACTAGGTTGCAGACCTTTTAGCAAGACCGGTCAGAGACCGGTCAGAAACCGCTCGCTCTTTTCCTCTACATTTATTCATTTCCTCCATGCCTTTATTTGCTGGGCCCAGGAAGAATGGGAAAGCATCTCCAGCAAGGAGGGCGAGGGAGCGGTGGAGAATAAAAGAGGATGGGCGGATGGGGGAAGCCAGGGGGTGGCGAGCGCGGCAGCCTAGGCGGAGAGGGTGGAGGCCGCGTCCCGGGGGGTCTCGGCGAGGCTTACCTGGGGCGCACGAGGCCGGCCGGGCGAGCAACAGCAGCCAGAGGCCGGGGAGCAGCAGTCCCGGGCGGCGGTGGCGGGAGGAAGGCCCGCGGCCGCTCCGCCCCGGCACCGGCTCAACCCTGGCGCGGGGCTCCCGCTCCATGGCCACGCGTCGGCTTCTCGGCACCCCGGCCTCGCGGTGTCGGCACGCTCGGGCCCGGGACGCCGGCGGCCGCTGCGGCGGGGACTGGACGCCGAGCACCGGCGCTCAGCGAGGCCGGCGAGGCGGGGGCGGGCCGGGCCGGATCCGCGGACAGGGGCCGCTGCACGCCGGCCGCGCCGCTCCGCCCCCTCCCGAGCCTCGTAGCCGCTGCCGGGCAACGCACGGGCCCCGCGCGGGGAGGCGAGCACCACCTCCCGGCCGGCCCGGCGCCTGCCTGCGGGCGGCCCGACGGAGGGCGCGCGGGACCCGGGCCCCGCCCTCCCGCAGGACCCGCCTCTCGGGAGGGCGCGCGGGACCGCGCCGCCCCCCACCCGCACCCCCGGGGCGCTGGAGAAACAGTCGGCGAGGATTCTGGCGGTCGCTCCTCCTGAGCCGCCCACGCAGGGCGGGCAGCAGGTGTGTGTGCAGGGCGGCCAAGGTGTGCAGGCCCGGGGCTGCAGAGCGGACAAAGCCAAAAGGAGTTGGGCTCTCTTTCCCAGAGAAAAGGCTGGGGAGGGGGCGCACACCGCTCTGCCCATTCTTTCCTCTTCCATAGCTCTGCCACCTTGCCAAAGTGGATCTTTGGAGAGCCCTGGGCCTACTGCCTCGAGCTTAGTGAGACCTCAGACAGGGGCTGCTGAGCTGAATAGAGGGGGACAGACAAACACACACACAGATCCAGACCTTGAATACCAATGGATGATGAAAAAGACCCCATTGGGAGTTAAATTCCAGTGAAATGCAGTTGTGAATGAGAGTTGACATTGTCTCTGTGCTAAGAGCCAAGCTTGTTGACTCTGAAGTTAGGTTAGAAGGCCTTGGACCACACCACGATTTTGGACAGTTGTATTTCAGAGGTTGCACAGCAGCCATAGTCTAAAAGCTGTGCATGAGGGACGAATATTGTTGACGGAGAATCTATGACAGACCATGGGAAATGCGAGAGGATCCAGGTTGCTCTTCCGGGAGATGGGCAAACAGAACCAGGAGGAGCTGCCCAATTTTGCTGGGCCAACTCATCTGTCTAGTCAGAGAATCAAGAGTCCCTCTTCTCAAAGGGACGGACACCTGTTAAATTTCAGGGGAAATGAGAATATAGGGTAAAAGCTTTTGTAGATGACCCTAATTTTTGTGCTTCATTGTGTCATCCATCATAAGCAGCCCCCATCAATTGTTCCCCCTGCCTCACAAACCCACAGAGTGGGTACAGAATACCCAGTAGAGAGTGCTTGTCTGAGCATGTCTGTGCACCGGTTACCATAGCCCCAGGTATGGGTCCCATCACTTTCTTTGAGATCTTTGTGTATACAACTCATTTGGCCACAGGCCGCCCAACTGGGGCAACTCTTGACATTTCGTCCTATTGTGTTATATTATTTTTTATGAACTTGGGCTTTGCCTCCGCCTGCTGAGTTAAAATGACATTCTAATATGTTATCACCCCACACACAATCTCCCATCATCCCCAGGAAGATTTCATTATATATTTATTGATGGGAACCTATGCATCGTTTATAATTGGCCTCAGCTTCCAGGAAGTTCCCATCTGCACCAGACTTCAGGGTGTAGGAGAAAGGAATGTCCCTCGACATTCTGAGTCAACCAAGACTCTACTAGAAATAAACAAAAATGCAACCTTGGGCCAGCAGGATGGACTCCTGGGCATCAACCCTCTAAGGAAAAGGCGGTCCCTGGAGTCCCTTGGTCTCCCTGCTCTGAAAACACAAAACCAACCTCTGTGGGGAATTAGAGCATTCTCCCTCAGTGTCTAGGAGAATGTCTCTCGGGCTCAGCTGGCAGCTGGCAGATAGTGTGACTCTGGGGACCCATCAGGAATGAATGCTCAAGATAAGCAGGTGTGTGCGTGTGAGAGCGAGTGTGTGTATGCACAAGTGCACACGCATGCCCCACACATATTCATCTATGCACATTTGTGTCTAAGAATAGGGATCAAGACATAGCCTCAAGCCATTCATACAAAAGCATGCAATGAACAGACCTACTGAATATTTCTCAGCACTTTGTCTGACTTGTTAGTATTGGAAGGGAGGGCATATAAGAAGAAAGAAGAATTGATTTTTAGACGCTCTTTCACCCAATTCTCATTTTACGTATAAATAAATGAAAGATGAGCTTTCCCTCAGTCACAAAGTGGTACACCAACAGCTAGGAGCAAAGAATCATCACTGCTCCTCGGCAGGCTTCTAGCCTGGTTTGGGGAAGGAGAGAGATATGGTCAGTATCACTCTTAGATCTGGGCAAAACAGGTATCACTCTGGGCTTCCGACAGCCCCAGCTGGCCCCCACAGGCCCGAGAGTCTGAGAAGCCGAAGGATCACCCATGAGGCTTCATCTTCCCCATGCCTGAGTGTCCAGGACCCCAGAATTCCAGTCCTTTGGCCTGACTCACCTCCAGAGTCTGTGTGGTACCTTCTTCCTAAGATCTGTCCCCTCAATAGTGGGCCGACAGTGTGTCTGGCTACGAGGGTAGCTGTTGGCAGGGGTGGGAGTGGGGCTTTGACAGGTGGATAGGGCATGTGCACAAAGCCTATAGGGTGAAGCAAAGAACCAAGGGTGGGAAGAAAGTGTCAGACAAGCTCCAGGCTCACACAGAAGCTGAGTGAACGTTCTCACAGCTCACGTTGTCTTAAATTCTGTCCTTGAACTCAGCCCACCAGGATAGGAAGGTCTGTGTACTATAGGGCAAAATGGGTGTCTTATTTCATAATTTCCTTGCTCATCATAGACCTTGCTGATATTTCACTGTGTGGTGTGGTGTGTGTGTGTGTGTGTGTGTGTGTGTGTGTGTGTGTGTTCCTCCTTTACATTGCTCCTGTCAGTATCTTGTCACAGCGATAAGAAAAGTAACAGACACAAGGCCCACAAGTTCCATTACGTTCCACCAACATTTTAAGCACTTGCTATATATGCCAGACCCCATAGTGGGCACCAGGGATACCAGAGCAGATAGGAGGAAGCTTTTCTGATAATGCTTGCATTCCAGCTAGGGATAAACAAGTAAGAGACTATCCCACTGTTGACAGCTATTTGGAGACCTTTAAAAGGGGAAAGGAGAGGCTAGGTATGATGGCACAGGCCTTTATTGGCAACACTCAGGAGGCAGAAGCAGGCAGATCTCTAAGTGCAAGATAAGCCAGGTCTACATAGCAAGTTCAGAACAGCCAGGGCCACAAAACAAAGCCCTGTCTCAAAAATTAAATAAATATAAAATAAAGGAAGACTGGAGTATGAGCAAACCCAGTGTTACCATGATAACCAGAAGACTCAATGACAATCACTGCACCAAGTTGACATTGGACAACTGGAGCAAAGGCAGGAGGAGAAACTGCATGATGAAGAACCAACCGGGTAAGTATCCAACAATTGTTTTCTGGGCCCCTGAGGCTGTCCCACAGAATAGTGCTAGACCTTGAAGAAGAGTAATTAGCCATGTGTTGTATGTCACCCGAGATAGGAGCTCCAGATAGGGAGCCTAAGATAAACCAAAGCACAGATATCAGCTAAGTCCAACTCAGAGAACGAGTTTTATTAAAGGGGTTACTTACAGGAATATGGGTGAGGGGTTACTCACAGGGGCAGAAATGACTCAAAGACAGCTTCATCGCCAAAGCCCACCACAGCACAAGTGACAGCACAATACACAGCCCGTGGGCAGCTCAGCAGGTTGGAGAGTCTCCCTTCTAAGTGACTCATTGCTCTAAACCTCTTCCAGGCGGCTCGCTGGTTTCTGCCTCTTCCAGGTAGCCTGACTGGTCTCACAGTCTTCTTTTAAGCTTGGCTTGTCTGAGTCTTCTTTGCAGATTCGCTCTGCTCCCCTGAAGGGGACTCTCAACTTTTATTACTATGGCAGGGAGGGGCCCTAGAGAATCTGGTCAGTTTCAGGGACTTCCTAAGTGTATTTTGAGGTTTTTGTTTGGTTGGTTGTTGGTTTTGTTTTGTTTTTCTTTCTTGCTTAAGGAGCTTCTCTGAGAGGTGGAATGTTTCAATCTCAGAGGAAACTATTACACAACACCATGGTTTTGTTCCAAACTGCTTATACTCTTATAGGGGGAAAAAAAGTTTCAAAATGACTCTATTACAAAGCAGAAGAGTTTGGGTGTCAGAATGATGTCACTAAATGTTCAGAGGGAGCATTTGCATTTGGCAGGAGGACAAGAGAAAAGCTTCCTGAGCTGGGGTGTAGCTCAGTGATTGAGCATTTACCTTACCAAGCATGGAGCATGCATGAGGCTCTAGGTTCAATTCCCAGCACTCAGCAGCAGGTGAAACGGACTTCAGGAGTTAGAGAGCTACACGATTTAGCAGTGATTGCACTTAGAGGGGATGGATGGTCTGAACAAATGCATAGTACAGGAACATGAGATTTTTCTTAACTGATATATTAGCTCCACTGGGACCCCCAATCCCATCCCCAGCCAATAATTAAAGTAAACTGGAGTTTGACAAATAAAGCATACCATCCCTAGCCCACACCTCCAGGAACTGCATTCAAATGTCTGCAGTTAAGGCTTGCACTTGCGGGGTGCTCTGTTTAGAAAGCTTCCTGGTATCCTTATGTGCAGTCAGGGATGGAAACCATTCACTTAGAGGAAAAGAAGAGCTGATGGACAAGAAAGAAGAAAGTGAAATGGACTAAAGAGTCTGAACTTCATCTGCAGGCTCAAGAAGTATCAGTAAAGATTCTTTTGAACTATTATTAGAATGAAGCACAAGAAAGATGACTCTATTAACAATGTATGAGACCATTTGGAGAGGAAAGGCTGAAGAGGGGAACCAGTTAGGAAACTGCAGCCCTGCATGCATGAAGCATGAAGGATTTGAACATCTTCCATCATCGAAGAGAGCAAGCTTGAGTTTTTAATTTTATGTCATTGGTGTTTTTGCCTGCATTCATGTCTGTGTGAAGGTGTCAGATCCCTTGGAACTGGAGTTACAGACAGTTGCGAGCTGACATATGGGTGCTGGGAATTGAACCCAGATCCTCGAGAAGAGCAGCCAGTGCT